TTGAGAGAATAGCCCTGAAACATGTAGATTATCATATGAAACAGATCGCCAGTCCAGGTAGGATGCATGAGGCGGGGTGCTCAGGGCTGGTGCACTGGGATGACGCTGTGGGATGGGGTGGGGAGGGAGGTGGGAGGGGGGTTCAGGATCGGGACACATGTGCACCCGTGGCTGATTCATGTCAATGTATGGCAAAACCCACTACAATATTGTAAAGTAATTAGCTTCCAACTAAAATAAATAAATTAAAAATTAATTAATTAATTAAAAAAAGAAATAAAGGAATCAAACGATATCCTGTGGAAGGCGCTAAGGAAGGCACTTCAGGATGATGGGACTTTTCTTAAGTCTTCATTTTCTTGTCGCCTTCTCGCTCGAATGTTATGCTTTCCCACACTCAATTTCTCTTGCTTCCTGAATGCACCCTGCTCTTCCATGCCGACAGCCACGTCTGCTCTCTCCCCTCTGCTCCTCCATCCCTGCAGTCAGTACCGAAGCTCACGCGCCCGGGCATTCCCTGGCTTATCTCATCCTCACTCTGGAGTACCATCGAGTGGCGGAGTGCGCATCAGAGAACCTTCTGCTCCCACAGCCACAGTGACGCAATTGTAAATTAGCCACTCACTGAGGAGAGTTCTGCCTTGTTGCTTTTAAGAGACATGGTTGGACGTGGAGACTGCCATAAAGAGTGAAGTAAGTCAGAAAGAGAAAAGCAAATATTGCGTATTAACCCATACATGTGGAATCCAGAAACATGGTACAGATGAACGCACTGTCAGGGCAGGAGTACAGAGACACAGAGAGAACAGCCCTGTTGCCACGGTGGGGCGGGGCAGCGGGGCGACCTGGGAGGCTGGGATTGACGTCTATACGCTCCACCGAGTGTAACCTAGACAGCTGGTGGGAAGCTGCTCCACAGCGGAGGGAGCTCAGCGCCATGGTCTGTGGGGACCCGGGGTGGGGTGTGGGTGCGGGTTGCTGAGCAGGAGGTCCAAGAGGAGGGGATGCAGGTATACATCGAGCTGATTCACCGCACTGCACAGCTGAGATGAACACAACACTGTAAAGCGCCTGGACTCCAATAAAAATTTTTAAGTTCTTCACTCTCCTGTGTTTCTAAATATTAACTAGAAATTAACTTCTTACACAATTTCTTGTCAATATTTGTTTTTATTCAAGATTTTTTAAGAGCACTATTGATATTAATTTTTCATCTCAGAATTTTGATAAATACCAGGGTTGTTTTCCACACTTACCTTTCTTCAGATTGTGGGTTTCCAGATTGCTTCATACATTATCATAAAGTTAGCAAACCTTGTAAAGAAGAGTTGTGGAATGAAATTGCAGCAACAAAGCTGGAGATGATAGTCTCTCCTACATTATTGCAATGTAATACCACATTTTTATGTTATGCAGGGGATCTTATTGACAGGTCAATAATTTGGACAAAGCTTACTTATTTGGATAAATATTATCTTTCAAGATAATTAAGCATATAAATATCTCAGGACTGCAGACAGCATCTTTAACTTAGTGCAAAGAAGTTTGGGAGCCTATATGCCATTGTTTAAAATAACTGGAAATTCTAATACAATAAGTCTGCAATTGCAGAAATGAAACATTAAAGCTAAGGACATATAACGTTATTGTATTGTCATCTAATTAGAACTAAAAACATATAGGATACAAAATACTCTAAAAAGAAAATTAAAACTTTAGGCTTAAAGGGGATATTTTCTTTTAGCCTAAAGTAAGTGTATCCACATTAACTTTCTTATTTGAGAGAATTAAAATTCTGAGAGGAACTAACCTCTACAGAGTGTTTTGAAAGCAAAATGTGTTATATTTTTCTCTCCTCCCACAAATTCAAATACAGGCTTTTCTGTACCCTGTCATCACTCCTCCTAAACAATGCAAGCTTCTTTCTACATTCTCAATTTTTCTAGTTCCTTTTTGTCTTCTGGACCTGATTGAACAAACTCACATCAAGATCACTTAACACTTCACACCCATTAGGATGTATTAGGAAAACATAAAATATAATAAGTGCTGATGAAAATGTGGAGAAACTGCAACACAGGCACATTATTAGAGTGAATGTAAAATGGGTAGCCAATGTACTAAATATAGTGTAGTGATTCCTCAAAATATTAAACACAGGGATACAATGCTGCTGCTGCTTAGTCGCTTCAGTCGAGTCCAACTGTATGTGACCCCATGAACCGTAGCCCACCATGCTCCCCCGTCCGTGGGAGTCTCCAGGCAAGAGTACTGGGGTGGGTTGCCATTCCCTCCTCCAGGGATCTTCCCGACCCAGGGATCGAACCCCGATCTCCTGTGCTGCTGGCAAGTTCTTTACCACTGAGCTACCAGGGAAGTCCATATGGTTTAGCAATTCCACTCCTGGATATATACCCAAAAGACATGAAAGAAAGGACTCATACAATATTTGTACATCCATGCTCATAGTGAAATTATTTGCAAGATTCAAATGGTAGAAGCACCCAAGTGTCCATGATCAGATGAATGCGTAAACAAAATACAGCACATATGTAACAGAATATTTTTCAGCCTTTTGTAAAAAGGAAATTCTGACACATGATACAACATGGATGAACCTTGAAGACATTATAAGTGAGACAAACCAATCACAAGAAAGTGGAATATTTGTTGCCAGGAGATGGCGGAAAGGAAGAACAAGGAATTAGTGTTCAATGGGTACAGAGTTTTAGTTTGGAAAGATAAAAATGTTCAGGAAATGGATGGTAGTAACGGTTACATAGCAATGTGGGTATACTTACTGTATGTACACTTGAAACTGTTAAAATGATAAATTTTATCTTATGAATAGTTTACCACAATAAAAAGAGAAGGGAAAAAAAGCTTAATTTAGAACTTGGTGTTTCACCCCTTTTAGAGCTGTTGTTATTTTAAAGAATAAATGACAGGAGAAAACTTGCTTAAAAAAAAAAAAGCTAGACTTCTGATGGTGAAAACTAAAGGTGCAATGAGCTGAAGGAAAATAATTTGAAGATTTCAATCTTACTCTCTCTTATCCATTCCCACACTACACCCAACATAATAGGTTTGCAAGGATAAGATAAGCCTCTAACTGGACTGATGTGACAGGCCTCTTAATGCTCACCCAGTCTCCACTCTAGTCTACCCCAAATTCTTTAGGCAGGTACACATATCCAAAGCACCATCCATCATTCAAAGCCGTGGTCTGTAGGCCTTTGCACTCCTAATTCCCCAGTCAGCAATGAGTGAGCATCCCCAGTCTTGCACTTGGGAGCTCTCCAGTCATGTCTACTCTTGCCAGATTTACTCCCCAAAGTGATATATTTAAATATCCTTCCTCACTTAGCTAGGAGCAATCTCTAAATTATTAATGTAAAATAGCATAGAACTCGCAGGCATAGAAACAATAGTTCATCTATTCCCCTTTACTGGAAAATAATGAAAACAACCATCTATGGGTGTTACTTTTGCTAAGGACATGTATGAATTAGAAATATACATCCCATTAGCTGGAGGTAATCATTTTTTCTATATTTAATTAATATATTCTGAGAACAGTATTCATAGATTACAACAACTTTGAGTTTCAGGAAATAATATTCATATAATTTCCTCATCTAAACTCATATAATTTTCCTTAATAATATTCATATTATGTCCTTATCTAAAACAAGGATGTAATGATTGAATTTTAGTGTATTTACTTACAAAGAATTTAGTAGTAGAAGTATTACATAATTGAAAAGTTTTGGTTTACAGGAAAAACACAGAAAGTCAAGATTTTTTAAAAAATACTAGGTAACAAGCTATTCAACAGACAAGAAAAATAATTGCTATCAGCTATCTAATGGTGTTATGGACTGAACTGTGTCTCCCCACAATTCATATGAATCCTTAAGCCCCAATGTAACTGTATTTGGAGATGCTATCCATGGAGAGGTAATTAGGTTAAATGAGCTCATTGGGGTAGGGCATTAATCTAATATGACTAGCATACTTATAAGGGAGAGAGAAACACTAGACACACACACTGGAAAGGCCATGCGAGGACACGGCAAGGAGGCAGCTCTCTGCAAGTTAAGGAGCAAGAAGCCGCAGGAGAAAACCACCCTGCTGGCACCTGGACCCTGGACTTCCAGTCTTCAGGACTTTGAGAAATAAATTTCTGTTGTTTAAGCCACCTGGTCTATGGCATTTTGTTATGGCAACCCAAGAACACTAATACAAATGATGAGTCAAAAACAAAAATAATTAATGATATGAAAAAAAGGCAAAGAAAGGATGAGACAGACACAGTCACATACAAAGCAGAACATACAGGAGATGTAAGAAACTCAGACACCTATACAGACACTATGTGACATACATGTTATTAAATGGCATTTTGCAGTCTTAAGAAATCATTGCTAAAAATTTTAGAACATATGAGTTGCTTTCACTATTTACATAGAGACATCACAGGACTTACCCTGATAAGCATGTGAACTTAATGTGAAATCTGGATTCCATCTTCAAGTCACAGATTCCCATGTCTCAGTTTAGAGAAACCTCACTCATAAACCATCAGTATGTGGCTACGACAGTGTGCTTGGATTTTTAAAACTTCTTAGTGCCACACTTCTTACAAACATCTTTTTTCTCCTCTGGCCTCCACTGTATTTTCCTGATAACTTAGTTACCATTACAAAAATAGTTGCTATCACATTTAGGGAAAACCACTGTGATGAGCACTTTGGCTATTAGCACCTGTGAAACAAAAACTAATACACATATTTAGGAGTTAAGGTAATTGGCAAGATTGACACAAAATAACAAAAGCATTACTTCAGGAAAAAAAAAAATGAATTTCAATGGGGAATCATTTTAGGAATGAATTATGCTCATAGTAACATCATACATGATATATCAAAATTAACTCAATCATTTGCCAGTAAACACAATGGTAATTCAACTCTGTGTCAGGTTTTACAAATACTTACACTAGAATAATCCTGAAATGCTAATGATGATCCAGAGAAACTAGGCCAACTGGAATCAGGAGTCAAACGGGAGAACCTTTTTGACACAGATCCTCTCCAATCATAGAATGTTCTGTCTGTTGAAAATATCAATGCAGGTTAAAAGAATATTTATTCAGGAAAAATACACAGTGATCATACTGCTTAGTGTTACAAAAATGAAAGTAAAGCATCTTTATAGCCCCACTATTCTGTATTACAATTACATCTTGTCATCTAATCATGGTAAGATGAAGAAGTGATAGCAATGCAGAGAGAGAGGCTTCAATTAATAGGCTTCCTTACACCATGACGCTCTCGTGATTTTATTACATGCAGGGTGCCCCTCAGAAAACCAACAGGTTCATTCTTCTGACTCTTCAAGTACACTGACTTCTTTTGTAAGAGAGGATTAAAGCAAAATCATATTTGTGAATAGCACTTAAAAAAAACAAAACCTGTTACATAAGCCCTTTAAAAGAGAATTTAGAATTATTTGAAGGCAGAACTTTTGATACTGTGTAGCAAATAAAATTATTGAAAGTATTTAAGGTAAATAGGTTGGAAGAGCAAAAGGTGAACCAGTATATACCCGCATATTTCTCCTCATAGTAGTTATTACGTAGGATTTCTGCACACAATTTTTAATAAAGAAGCGGAGATTCAAGATTTATTTGTTCACTTATTTCTCAGAAATACAATTTAATCCTGCCATCCAAATGAATCAAACTAGTTTTACATTTCCAATTTTCTTTCTAATACTTCTTCATATACATATACTCTTTACTGAAACTTTCAATTTAAGAGAGTCCTCCATGGACCAGTTAGTTCCATATAAATTTAGAGAAAAATCAGAAGTAATGCAGTCTCTCATTTCATGGCTTCAATTTATTTACAGGACCATAAATTAAGTGCCCTATATATTGGGAGGAAGAATAGCAATATAAAATAATAAAATGTGATATTATCTCAGAGACATTCTAATCAGTATACACACACATACATCCTACCACATCTTAATTTTGCATGTATTTCCTCCATTTCAGTCAGTCTCTGCCCTCTATCAAAAAGGAAAAGTCTCTAGGAGAGGCAACATATAAATGATATATTTCATTCATAACACAATATGAAGAAATGAATTTCTTTAATGGAAGCAATGCCAATAATGAGTAGACCATAGAGAATCTGAAAATATTATCTGAAAAGAGTATAGCAAAGAAAAGGCCATACACATCATACTTTACTTGGGAACTTTTATAAATTCAGAGGGACATAAAAGGACAGCATAAGAGTTATTGAGATGTGTAAGCCCCACATTTCTTATGAAGCCTTGTTGACTAATTTGAAGTATTCTTTAATTCATTAGCACTATTTCTATTCCACCCACTTGCTTCAATGCACTTCGACAGTAAATATTCTTACTTTTAGATAACAAAGCGTCTCTTTCCAATCTCCTTTTAAAATGTATAAACACTTCTGGGGCAAGGACAATATCTTACTTGGAATTGCTCTATGATTCTGGTTCCTTAGTAATATGATTAAAGTCACTATGTAAACACTGATAAACTAGAATTAGCCTCATGAAGTTAAATCTCACAGGGAAAAGAGAATCTTCCTGATTACTGAGGGGCACAGGTAAATATGAAACTCAATGCTGTATGACATTTTTCTAAGAGATTCCAGAGCATTTCAAATATTTTATCTTGTCTACCCACAAAACAGATCCAAGTAATCGAGAAGTCATACATTATTTTCTCCAGTATACAGGTATCACACTGGAAAATATAGCTATAACTTTTCCACTTCAGGAAGCAGTAAAGCCTCCACTAAAATCCTCAAGGTGATCATTCACACACTGATCTATGCTAATGACTCCTCCTAAGAAGCCAGGCACAGAAGGTGACATGCAACAAATTCCAGTTTATTCCACAAAGTCAGTTGAAAGTTATAAGCTGATAGTTTGAAGAAGAGCGAAGTCATACGTCATACTAAGCCTTCACAAACCCTTCACAGAGCCAATAAGCTTCAAAGGTAATGCCACAGGGAAGTGAAGATTCTGAATTCTAGGGTGCATGTATGAAAGAGACAGTATAAGAGTAGGCTGTACATTAACATATGAAAAAAAATTAATTTTATCAGTACCATCAGCCAGCAAGAATGAAATACTCTGAAATTAAACAAATGTAGGCTAAATGCAATCAGAGAAGGCAATGGCACCCCACTCTAGTACTCGTGCCTGGAAAATCCCATGGATGGAGGAGCCTGCTGGGTTGCAGTCCATGGGGTCACAAAGAGTCAGACACGACTGAGCGACTTCACTTTCACTTTTGACTCATGCACTGGAGAAGGAAATGGCAACCCACTCCAGTGTTCTTGCCTGGAGAATCCCAAGGACGGCGGAGACTGGTGGGCTGCCTTCTATGGGGTCGCACAGAGTTGGACACGACTGAAGCGACTTAGCAGCAGCAGCAGCAGCAGCAGGCTAAATGCAATAACGATATTTGGAAAGAAGCCAAAATGGTCCCATCAAGTTGTGTGTGTGTGCTTAGTCACACAGTCATGTCCAACTCCTGGTTTTCCAGGCAAGAATACTGTAGTGGGTTGCCATGCACTCCTCCAGGAGACATTCCCAGCCAAGGGACAGAACCCAGGTCTCCCACGTTGCAGGCAGATTCTTTTCTGGCTGGGCTACCAGGGAAGTCCCCCATCAGGTTAACAAGGAATTATTAGCTAATTGTTAGTTGCCTAGTCGTATCAAACTGTTTGTGACCCCAATGACTATAGCCCTCCAGGCTCCTCTGTCCATGGAATTCTCCAGTCAAGAATATTGGAGTGGGTAGTCATTCCTTTCTTTAAGGGATCTTCCCAACTCAGGGACCAAACCCTGATCTCCTGCATTGCAGGCAGATTCTTTACTGTCTGAGCCAGCTGGGAAGCCCATTATTAGCTAAATAGCAGCTAAATCTGAACATTAAAAAAAAAACTGTGAAATATCCATACCAATGTCTTCTGTCTTTATATTTCCTCAATAGTTATTTAGGCCTTTGAAAATGTTTATACCACTAGTTCATGTTATTTTGTTGATTTCTTCGCATCTCATCTACCTATCTAGACTTGAGAGTCTTTCACTTGGTTTGTAGTCTCCATAACATTGAATACAACACTGTGCCCCCAAAATAAGTTCAGTATATGCTCCTGGGCTGACCTGGCATTGGCTGAAAGGCCATCAATAAATAAACTGCTAAGAGTGGAAGGTCCCATCCGACATAAACATCTAATTCAATAGAAGAGTCTTTAAAATGGGACTTTTAAAATTCTATTTTTTTTTTCAGGACCAAGTATTTTTCACCAGATCATCTTCTCTCTCTTGATGTTTATCTTGATGTGTATAATGGTAATAGATTTCAAATATGTATCAGCTGGGGGTGGCTTTTTATTTCATTTCCCATTTTCATTCAAATTCATGTAGTTAACAATAAGCCAATTATTTACACAGGTGAGAGATACTATTAAAATCTAATAAGCATAATTATTTTAGAAACCTAAATTACCTAGATGACTCACAGAAAACTGATAAGATTGCATCCAGTGATATAACCAAGAGAATGAAGACATAAAATGGGAAATAGGGAGAAAATAAGAAAAAATCTCTAGCTAGTTAAAACATTCATCATTTTTCTATGATCTCTGCAGTGACAAGCATTTCCTTCACATTGCAAATGGACAGATTTGTCCCCAGGGGCTTCCCTGGTGGTTCAGTGGTAAAGAATCTGCCTGCAATGCAGGAGACATGAGCTCGATCCCCAAGTTGGGGAGATCCCGTGAAGGAGGTCATGGCAACCCACTCCAGTATTCTTCCCTGGTGAATTCCATGGACAAAGGAGCCTGCTGGGCTACAGTCCATAGGGTTGCACAGAGTCGGAAATAACTAAAGCAACTAAGCAGCAGACTTGTCCAAACTGTCTGAATATCAGTACAAAACCCAAAGACAATAGGAGTTTAAACTTTTCAATTATACTGTTTCAGTCAACCAAGAAACCAAATGTCCGTAAGAAATAATCAAAGCAACTGCCTCCAACAGAGCCAAAGTCCAGATGCAAGCAAGATGTATCTTTATGAGGATGTGACAGAGCCCAAGACACTAGTGGGTTCAGTGGTCCTGTGCCCTTAGAGCCTTTTTTATGCCAAGCCCATTCCGTTTCCCTTTTATCAACTCCTTTCTATCAATTAATTCTTTGAGTTAATTGCACATGCAGTTTTAATCTGTAGGTAATTACAATCAATTAATAGTTAGGAGACAGAATTAGCAGTTCTTAGTTTGATTATCTATATAATTAAAAGGGGTGGTAAACTAGAGTTGACAAATAGCATCTTAATCAGTTGAATAATCAAACCCTAGAAGCTTGCTTGGGCAGCTGAATTCCATCTATTGCATTAGTTCAAATTTTAGAATCAATGACTGAAATGTCTATTTAAATCAATTTACATTGTCAATTTATAGTAAAAAATGAATATATTCTAAAATTACTTAAATTATTTACCTTCTTTTATTTATAATGAACTGCTTCCAAAAGCAGTAAAAAAAAAAAAATTCCAAAAAGAATTCAGTAAAAATAAAGATCCAACAAACTAACTTATTTATAATCTACTGAATATCCATGCTCCCAAGTTGTATGTTATAAAACATCTAAGGAATATGACTAACTCCTTTTATACTAGGTTCTACTTAACAGTTCTATTTAAGTGTGCTGAGAGATAGCAAATACAACATAGCTTTCTTTTTTTTTTTTTTCCTTTTTTTGGCTATTTAATGGAAATAGCTGTAGATACAGAGGAAATAACAAGATGCAAGATAAGCTTCAGGTAATTTAGAAAAATATGTGAGAACTTTGCTGTGATTAGGATATAATATAATGGAACAGTACCATCACTATTGCATAATATCTTTATGAATTATCAAGTATTTGAACAAGATTGGCAGATACTTCCAAGTTTATAGTAAATAAAAAATATTCAAAAAGAATCATGATTTCTGGTTCAATATGGTTTGTAACCTTTGACTGAGGCAGCCCCTTTTATAGTCCAAAATAAAATACTA